GTCTCCTCATGGTTTTTTCTCTTCTTCTCCTTCTTGGCCGTCCCTCCTGCTTCGTTCGTTTTCTTCTGCTAACATTTGAATTCTGAGCTCCTTTTTTACCCCTTCCTTCTGCTCAACTTTCTAAACTCCGTTGCTGTGTTTGTAATTTAAACCTGTGACAACAGACCATCCAGACTGTCCCGTTAACAAGGTTAACACCCAGGATAATACACCGAGACCCACTGACACTGACACGCTCTGCTGGACCACCACAACATGGCTCACTGACAGTTCACTGACAGCTCACTGCAGGCTCACTGACAGTTCCCTCTCGGCTCACTGACAGTTCACTGACCGTTCCCTGACAGTTCACTGCAGGCTCACTGACAGGTCACCGCAGGCTCACTGACAGTTCACCGCAGGCTCACTGACAGTTCACTGCAGGCTCACTAACAGTTCACTGTCGGTTCACTAACAGTTCACTGTCGGTTCACTGACAGTTCACTGACAGCTCACTGCAGGCTCACTGACAGATCACTGACAGCTCACTGCAGGCTCACTGACAGTTCCCTCTCGGCTCACTGACAGTTCACTGTCGGCTCACTGACAGTTCACTGTCGGCTCACTGACAGTTCACTGTCGGTTCACTGACAGTTCACTGTCAGTTCACTGACAGTTCACTGACAGCTCACTGCAGGCTCACTGACAGTTCCCTCTCGGCTCACTGACAGTTCACTGTCGGCTCACTGACAGTTCACTGACCGTTCCCTGACAGTTCACTGCAGGCTCACTGACAGCTCACTGACAGTTCACTGCAGGCTCACTGACAGCTCACTGACAGTTCACTGACAGCTCACTGCAGGCTCACTGACAGATCACTGACAGCTCACTGCAGGCTCACTGACAGCTCACTGACAGTTCACTGACCGTTCCCTGACAGTTCACTGCAGGCTCACTGACAGATCACTGACAGCTCACTGCAGGCTCACTGACAGGTCACCGCAGGCTCACTGACAGTTCACTGTCGGTTCACTGACAGTTCACTGCAGGCTCACTAACAGTTCACTGTCGGTTCACTGACAGTTCACTGTCAGTTCACTGACAGTTCACTGCAGGCTCACTGACAGCTCACTGACAGTTCACTGACCGTTCCCTGACAGTTCACTGCAGGCTCACTGACAGTTCACTGCAGGCTCACTGACAGCTCACTGACAGTTCACTGCAGGCTCACTGACAGGTCACCGCAGGCTCACTGACAGTTCACTGACAGCTCACTGCAGGCTCACTGACAGCTCACTGACAGTTCACTGCAGGCTCACTAACAGTTCACTGTCGGTTCACTGACAGTTCACTGACGGTTCACTGACAGTTCACTGCAGGCTCACTGACAGCTCACTGACAGTTCACTGACCGTTCCCTGACAGTTCACTGCAGGCTCACTAACAGTTCACTGTCGGTTCACTAACAGTTCACTGCCGGTTCACTGACAGTTCACTGACGGTTCACTGACAGTTCACTGTCAGTTCACTGACAGTTCACTGCAGGCTCACTGACAGGTCACCGCAGGCTCACTGACAGTTCACCGCAGGCTCACTGACAGTTCACCGCAGGCTCACTGACAGTTCACTGCAGGCTCACTGACAGGTCACCGCAGGCTCACTGACAGTTCACCGCAGGCTCACTGACAGTTCACTGACAGTTCACAGTGGGACTTGTAGTTTTTCTGAGCCTTGTGTTGTTCATGACTGTAGTATTTCTAACCACTCTCCCCCCTGCACCCCCCCCCCCCCCCCCCCCCCCCCGTCCTCGTGGATGTGTCTCACCCCGTTCCTTCCGTCCTTCTCTCCTGTCATCCTCTCTTTCTATCTCCTTACAGGACTCCAAACGTTTCCTCCAATGGCAACCCTGGCTATGAGAGCCTTCCCTTGACTGACAGGCAGTCCCCACCCCCCTCTGTGAGTTCCTCTGTACCTGTCACTCCATTTCATCTCACAAAAAAAATCAATCAATAACATCATGGGGTGTGACGCCCACGGGACATTCTGGTTGGTCTGATTTTGAGACGCTCCTTAAAAAAATGTTTTTAATCCATTTTTATTTTTACAACATATTATTCAAATAATATTTCCGTTGAACTAAGGAAAATATAACTTTTCAAAATTATAAGGAATTTGCTGTGCCCTCTCTGCAATAGCGCCCCCTGTTTTGGGAACCACTGCCATTGGACTACAGAAAAAAAAAGATTCTTCAACCTGGAATAATAAGAGATAAAAACCATCAGTGCTGCTGTAAAAACGAACAAAGTCCGTGGTGTCCTCCCTGTAGAACCTGGAGTCACCCCTGGGGGGGTTTGATTCCTGTCTTGCTTTAGTCTTGGCAACAGAACACTGTGATGAAGATGACAGGATTATGAGTCAATGAACAGAAGCGTTGATGAAACGCCGTGACTTCACCGTCATCGTTGTCCTTCCTGCTGCCTTCAGGTGATTCTTTAATAACACGTGTCCTTTTTCTCTTCTTTCTGTTTGTGTTGATGCGTCCTGGGACGGCCTGGACCTGCAGTACTCTCCCAGCATGCTGACTGCTTATGGGGGAAGTCAATCACAACCCAACCCCTCCCATTCGAGGAACCTGTATTCACGTTGATTTTTTTCTGTTAGGAAATGTATAGAAAAATGTTTACTTTTAATATAAATGGACACTGAAATGAAAAGTATTAACAAATCAAATTAAAATGAATGCTAGGTGTGGATTCAAAGTGTGTCAGTACTACCTGATATTATTGTTCTCAATATTATTGCTATTATTCCTGTTAAAAGCACTTAAATGTGAAGAGTTTGTGTGGTTTCCTGGTTAAACTGAGCTGAGGCTGCGCTGGTTCATCAACCAGGATCAACCAGGATCAACCAGGATCAACCTGGATCCACCTGGATCAACCTGGTCCTGGTTCATCAACCTGGTCCTGGTTCATCAACCTGGTCCTGGTCCTGGTTCTTCTGAGGTTCTTCTCCCCCTTTATCTGTTTAAACTGTAAACCGTGAACCGTGGTGAGAAAAGTCAGAATAGTATTGACGATACTACGTTGTACTTTTATATTCTTACGTCTTATCAGTTTGACATCTTTCTTTTCAAGTTTTTATATTAACACTGCAGTAGAAAAACACTAGCCCGTTCCTTACTTGGTTTTCATTTTTCTTCTACTGTCAAAGGTCGACTCTACATTTCCTTTATTCTATTCTGTTCTGTATAATTTACCGTCCAGAACACCTAAAAACCATGCTCTTAAAAAATACCTGATAGCGATTGTGACACCACTGGGATGATTGGACGGAGAAGTAAACTGTACTAGTGAAGTATACAGAGAGAAAAACTACAAATCCTAGGCATCTACAAAAAGTACACAGCAATATGATACTTGCTACTGGTACTGCAGTAGCCCAAGTGTAATTAGCAATAAAAGCTCTGTATAGAACTGGGCTTCAGAGAACTCTGCCACTCTGTGATGTGTATATTTATGGTAATGATATGTTGGAAACTTCCGTGTTAACCCTTTAGTTGAGTTTGTATTGTTGCCAATGCGCATTTTCAATGGCATCCTTTTACACAGTCTTAATATAAATAAATAAAATGACTTCTGTAACTGACGCGGCTCCTTATCATGTCTACATGAAACACACACACACGGGTCACTGGCGTGAACTGGAGACACAGATCGAGACAAACGAGCTTTAGTTTTAGGGACTTTTGAATAATGGTGGAAATGTACTGAAAAAACTTTAAAGAAAATAGCACTAACGAATGTGAGCCAATCAGAGCTATGTTTATTGGCAAGACAGCGGACAGCAAAGCAGTGAGCCAATCAGAGCGAACGTGTGTCAGGTGGTACAACAAACGGAGACACCGTGAAGCCGGCAGCGGGAATTAGCAAAACAAGTCCGGTAAGACAGATTTATGAAGTTAAAAAATTGAAACGTCTTCGAAAGTTAGACACACTTTATTTAGAGGATTTAGAGTATTGTCTGCCTACGTCATCGTGGGGCTCACTGACTCTAACAGACTACAGCATTAAATCGAATTTGATGCGACCTCTTGTTAAAATTACTACTGAATATATGTAAATATGCGTAAAACTATTTTCAACGTTATTTTAAGGCTTAGCTACTTGTGTCGTGCTTATATAGCATATGTCTTATGCAAGTACACGGTTTTAAATGTAATACATTTTATTTCCCGAGTATTTTTGTACGGTTTTCAAATTTCCGTTGGTACCTGAACACCCCTTATTATGGACACGCCCCTCAGTGGACCTTAATAAAGGATAGCGGTTCTAAAGCTTTGTGATGTAGCGAACTAGACTTTCTGTAAGCGTCCACCAGTTGGCGCTCTTGGGTTGGTTTGTGTTGTAGGTCTGTCGCACCGCTTCGTTGTTGCTGCCACTTTTGAACAAATTCGTCAAACTGGCTTCAGTGACGCGCCGTTCGCGACTAATCCGTTCAGTAATCCGAGTCACATGACAGATTCATATTGTTCATACTGAACGAATCACTCACTGATGGAGGTTTAGTTTATTTAACTTTGTTTACAACCACGTGTCCTCTAGCAGGATGGTTCGTTTGTGACTGACAGCTCGGGCTCAGTGCCCAATAGGGCTACAGCGCCACCTGCTGAAAAATGAATGAAATGATTCGGTCATTTTACTGTTCGAGAGTCAAAGATCAGTAAAAAGAGTCGGTCTTCCCAACACTTTTCCCGTGCACTGTGCGGATTCTAGCGGCCCCGCCTGGACTGACAGGAGGGTTCACTCCACTCCGGAACAAAGGCGTCCAGGTGCTGACACCGATGCACGGACTGAACCCTCTTGTCCTCACGACTCTTTGAAGGCGAGAGACGAGGAAAACAAACAGACGAACACAAAGAAATGTATCGAGGCCGGCAAACGATCGATGATTTTTATTTATCGTGTGATCAACGGATGTATTGATTATCAACCTCGGCAAAATAATAACAACAGTAAATAACAACAAATGTATAAAAACGATGTTCAATATAAATGTATGGTAAAACAGTTCGCTGTTTGAACGTAGTAGTATTTAATTTCACACTGCATTTTAGTCAAGAAAATCAAACTTAGTCGAATAATAATTTGGACTAATTTAACTGAAATACTGAATTAACTGGGACCAAGGTTAGTTTACATTTAGTCAAAAAAAAAAAAATCAGACTAACTTTGAATTTAAAAATGCCATCAAAATGAACACTGATTCACCCTTTATGGGAGAACTATAAAGAGCAGCGGTTTTAGAGGTCAGAGGTTAGAGGCTGAGGTCACTCAGGTGCTGCCTGACGTCTGATACACTGTGACCCAAGAACTTCTACTAATATCCTAAGGGCACCGTCCCAGGGATTTGAACACTGACATTTGTTTCCATTCTTTCCGTTATTGTTTTTGTATTAAAGGTACACAGAGTGATGACATCACAGGGCACCAGCTCTGGCCGCAGCCCTTGTCACTGAGGGAAAACAAAGGTCTGTCATTGGCTGCTCTGGTTTTATTCCATTCTTCTACCAAGCAGCTCAGTAACTCCTTCTGTGTACGGTTTATTTTCTAATAAATCATCGATTCCTTTTTAAACATTCAGGACGTTCTGTGAACATCAGTGCCACGTTTCCCCCTTTATATCCAACCTGTAGCCAATGAGTCCTGACAGTCAACCTCCCCGCCGCCCCCCTCGCCCGACCAGTGTTTCCCTTGATGCTGCAGTAATATCTCTTTGCAGGGACAGGGTTGGTATCAAAACAAATGAGTCCAGTCAATGGAAGCAGACCTTGATCCCGACTCCTCTTTGGAACTTCCCCTGAGTTTAAGTACCGTTGCATATGTTAAATGTGTTTCAGTGCAAACCCTGAAGAGACTTTTCCTGACCAGGTCTGACACGTCAACCTGTGGTTTCCCAGGCTGATAAACTGGTCTTTGTCCTGCTCAAAGGCATCACTAGTTGGGATTGTCTGAGTTCAGCCATGAACCGTCCTCCTCCACCTCCCTCTGAACAACCAGGAGCAACTCGGCCACATCCTGAGACAGCTGTTCGCTGAAGAAGGAGCTGAGAGCGGAGGAGAAGGAGAAGAAAACAGACCTGGTTAACTCCACAAACAAACGGTGAGGTAAGCATCATGTGACCGGTCACAACGGATGAGTGACTCAGTGAGACTGACCCAAACAACAAGAGCAGGGAGTTCAGACTGAAACTGGAGTCAGACTCTGTCAAAATAAATGTGTGAAGTGGCGAAGCTGAAATACAAGTGCAGATTGTCCTGATGAATATAAATATAAATATATCTGGTTTCTTTCCTGTTTCCATCTGTGGTTTCATTTCACTGAATCTCCAGGATGTGAACATCCCATCATCAACTCCCAGCATGTGTTTGTGGGGGGCTCAACCTCAGGTCCGCGGTCAGAAACCAACTCTTATTACATACTTTGAACAACACGTAGGACAGAGAACACACACACACACACACACACTTACTGTAACTCAGACTCCCCACCAATACACAAGGGGTTCTTCAGTTTGGAGTCCAGGTTGTAGTACTGTCCGTTAACCTGGCGAACTGCGAGCCAGTGCCGCCGTCGAAGTGGGAGCGACACAAACCCAAGTGACACTCGTGATGGGACGTTGAGAATGAAGCCCTGGACCTTCGACGCGCACAAACTCTGTAAAGTCCTGCGAAGAGAAACCGTCAGTAATGATAATAATGGTCAGTTGTTTGTCTGTGTTTGATGCTGCCGCGGTGACTGACGTGGTGCCTCCCCCTTTTTTCTGTCCAACTGTGGAGCGAAGGCCAACTCTGCTGCCGTCCACTGCAGTTTGTTCTGTTTCTGGTATTGTCCGTTCTTCTCCATCATCCTTCCTTTATCTTAAACACTTGTGGTCAAGCAGTGACCTGTGTGACCTGGACCTGGTCGTTCAGCTCTGACCCCGTCTGGTCGCTCTGGGACGTTTCTGAACCTCCTAGATCTGATGTGTAACTGCTAATAAGTTTGAACAACATGTTTCTGGTCGAACGATGCGCACACACACACACACACACACACACACACACACCCCTGTCTGTGAAGTCACTCACCTGCGTTTGTCCCACCACACCGCTGCCAGGTCTCTGCTCTGTAGAGCCGCCATGATGACGTTGACGTCATAGTTTCCAGTGCCTAACACTGAGCGATGAGGGTTCACCACAGACTGTGGAGCCAGTCTGCCAGAGAGACAGAGAGAGAGAGAGAGAGAGAGAGAGAGAGAGAGAGACTTGTTGACCCAGGAACAGTGGACTTCAAAGAGGAGAAGAAGAACCAACCAGTGGTAGAGACGGGGGAGTCAGGACCACGGTCAGGCTTCTCTCTGGACTTGTTTCATCATCTTTTCTCATCACACAGGTCAACAGTTCCAGAGAACTCATCAAGAACGCCTGGTCTCCACCAACACGTCTGCTCCTGACCTGGACTCAGCACAGCAGCTCCTCTGCCTCCACCTCACCCTGTTTCCTGGCCCTCCTCCTTCCATGTCCTGTGTTGGTCTTATGTCCACTCTGTCCTCAGCTCATGTCCACACCCTCTCCACCGCAGCAGTTCGTCTGTCACCTCTGACCCCTGTGTCCATCCACTGTCCATGACTCTGGATGTTTGACCCTAAGTGCTTATTCTCACCCACTCTCATTTACACACATGAATTCTGCCTTCCTCCTCCTCTGCCGCCCCCCCCCCAC